ACTTGTATTTGTTGAGTCAGGGTGTGTATTTTCTGTGTAGGAAGATCTATGTTGTATTTTCTATGTTTAGTTTCTAGATCGTTTAGATCTATGTTGGCCAGGGTGGTTCCCAATCAGAGGCAGCTGTAGCTCGTTGTCTCTGATTGGGGACCATACTTAGGTAGCCTGTTGGCACTAGTGTGTTGTGGGATCTTGTTCCGTATGAGGTATGTTTTGTGTTCTACCTTAGGATTTCACGTATCGTTTGTTTATTGTTTTGTCAGTGGTTTATTCATTCTAAATAAACATGTACGCTTATCACGCTGCGCCTTGGTTCGACCAATCTTTAAACGATCGTGACACTTTGTTGGCAATGACACAGGTCAAACGTTTTCTATAAGTCTTCACAAGGTTTTCACACACTGTTGCTGGTATTTTGGCCCATTCCTCCATGCAGATCTCCTCTAGAGCAGTGATGTTTTGGGGCTGTCGCTGGGCAACACAGACTTTCAATTCCCTCCAAAGATTTTCTATGGGGTTGAGATCTGGAGACTGGCTAGGCCACTCCAGGAACTTGAAATGCTTCTTACGAAGCCACTCCTTCGTTGCCCGGGCGGTGTGTTTGGGATCATTGTCATGCTGAGGTTTTCACTCAAAATCTCACGATACATGGCCCCATTCATTCTTTCCTTTACACGGATCAGTCGTCCTGGTCCCTTTGCAGAAAAACAGCCCCAAAGCATGATGTTTCCACCCCCATGCTTCACAGTAGGTATGGTGTTATTTGGATGCAAGTCAGCATTCTTTGTCCTCCAAACACGACGAGTTGAGTTTTTACCAAAAAGTAATATTTTGGTTTCATATGACCATATGACATTCTCCCAATCCTCTTCTGGATCATCCAAATGCACTCTAGCAAACTTCAGACGGGCCTGGACATGTACTGGCTTAAGCAGGGGGACACGTCTGGCACTGCATGATTTGAGTCCCTGGCGGCGTAGTGTGTTACTGATGGTAGGCTTTGTTACTTTGGTCTCAGCTCTCTGCAGGTCATTCACTAGGTCCCCCCGTGTGGTTCTGGGATTTTTGCTCACCGTTCTTGTGATCATTTTGACCCCACGGTGTGAGATCTTGCGTGGAGCCCCAGATCGAGGGAGATTATCAGTGGTCTTGTATGTCTTCCATTTCCTAATAATTGCTCCCACAGTTGATTTCTTCAAACCAAGCTACTTACCTATTGCAGATTCAGTCTTCCCAGCCTGGTGCAGGTCTACAATTTTGTTTCTGGTGTCCTTTGACAGCTCTTTGGTCTTGGCCATAGTGGAGTTTGGAGTGTGACTGTTTGAGGTTGTGGACAGGTGTCTTTTATACTGATAACAAGTTCAAACAGGTGCCATTAATACAGGTAACGAGTGGAGGACAGAGGAGCCTCTTAAAGAAGAAGTTACAGGTCTGTGAGAGCCAGAAATCTTGCTTGTTTGTAGGTGACCAAATACTTATTTTCCACCATAATTTGCAAATACATTCATTAAAAATCCGACAATGTGATTTTCTGGATTTTTTTTCTCTCAATTTGTCTGTCCTAGTTGACGTGTACCTATGATGAAAATTACAGGCCTCTCTCATCTTTTGAAGTGGGAGATCTTGCACAATTGGTGGCTGACTAAATACTTTTTCCCCCACTGTATATCTCTCTCCTACCTTTCATCTATATCTCTCTCCTACCTTTCACCTCTCTCTCTCTCTCTCTCTCTCTCTCTCTCTCCTCTCTCTCTCTCTCTCTCTCTCTCTTCCTATCACTCTACCTCTCTCTCTCTCTCTCTCTCTCTCTCTCTTTCTCTATCTTCTACCTTTCACCTCTCTCTCTCTCTCTACCTTTCACCTCTATCTCTCCCCATCCAATAAAACATGGAGAAATACGGAAAGACTGCCCCACTTCTTAAAAACATTTGAAATAACAATTGAACAATGCATTATAGAAGGTGAGATGCAACACTCTCTCCATTATAAAATATCTAGTTTATTGTAGATGCCATAGTTGAAACCAAACGGTGAAGTTTTGGTCAGAGCCTGATGAAGCCACAGCTGTTTTATAATGGAGAGAGTGTCTCGCCTCACCGTCTAATGCATCACACAGAGACTTGAGAATATAGGAGGATGTTGACAATCACAAAATTGCTTGCTTATTCAACTTTATTTGAACAATACGTTTTATTAATTCAACTTTATTTAAACAATAGGTTTTATTAACTCAACGTTATTTGAAGAATAGTTTTATACACATCTGACATTTTCAAACATGACCCTCAGACCTGAAAAACAACCCGTTCATTAGATAAAAGTAATAAAAGTAATATGCCATTTAGCAGACGCTTTTATCCAAAGCGACTTACAGTCATGCGTGCATACATTTTTTGTGTATGGGTGGTCCCGGGGATCGAACCCACTACCTTGGCGTTACAAGCGCCGTGCTCTACCAGCTGAGCTACAGAGGACCACCAGATAAAACAGAATAGTCATTTCAACAACCCGTTCATTAGATAAAACAGAATAGTCATTTCAACAACCCGTTCATTAGATTAAACAGAATAGTCATTTCTACAACCCGTTCATTAGATAAAACAGAATAGTCATTTCAACAACCCGTTCATTAGATAAAACAGAATAGTCATTTCTGTGTGACATACTGAGTCTAGTCAAGTCAATCACATGTTTTTGCAGTGACCCATAGTACAGTATTGTAGAGATTTTTTTACAAATGGCGACAGTGTAATTCCCCTTGCGGGTCTCAACCCCGGAGGTAGACCTGCTAACCACTGCTCCATTAAGGGTTAAATCTTTTAGGTAGGACGGTAACAGGCTTAGGTAGGACGGTAACAGGCTTAGGTAGGACGGTAACAGGCTTAGGTAGGACGGTAACAGGCTTAGGTAGGACGGTAACAGGCTTAGCTTTACAGACTCTTACAAATAGACAGATATTCATTTATTTAACTAGGCAAGTCAGTTAAGAACAAATTCTTATTTACGATGATGGCCTACACCGGCCAAACCCGGACGACGCTGGGCCAATTGTGCAACGCCCTATGGGACTCCCAATCACAGCCGGATTGAGATAGGGGGCCGGAATCGAACCAGGGGGTCTGTAGTGACGCCTCAAGCACTGAGATGCAGTGCCTTAGACCGCTGCGCCACTCAGGAACCCGAGTGCCTTAGAGACATACTGTATCCAAGGACTAATACCATATGATGCAAAATAGATCATACTGGCTGTTTATGTACCTGTATTTTGAAAGCTTATATATCTTGAAAACTTGATTTGCTGACATGGAAAACATTTTTGGGACTATATCAACAATGGACTAAAGGAGGAAGTCAGAGAGGTTATGAGGGGGCAAGGCCTTGTAGGTGAGGTGTAGTTTCTTGTAGGTGATGTGGAATTTGACTGGGAGCCAGTTAAGGTGGTGTAGGGAAGGGGTTCCCAGGGTTTGGTAAGTGTGTTTCTTTCCCAGCTACATCAACACATCTCTCCTGCCTACAGGTACACTTAAAGGGGAAATCTGCAGTTCAAACATCAACAATGCGTTCACGCCACCACTAAACGTTTTTTTTTTTTTTAAGATGGATGTAGCAATCGCAGATTGTCCCCTTAACCTTGAGATCGTTTCCCGGCTACAACAAGACACCACTCCTGCCTACAGGTACACTTAAAGGGGCAATATGCAGCTCCAACATCAACAATGCAGTCAGATTGTCCCTTTAACAGTGTGATCATTTCCCAGCTACATGAAGACGCCTCCCCTCCAGGTACACTTGACCTTCTGTCTTAACCAATCAAATGGATATCTCAAGAGAGAGGACAGAGTTTAATTGCATCAAGGACGCAGGTTGACGTTTATTGTTATGAATCTTGTATTGGAGGCAGAACTGAGTGATTTCCCCTTAGATAGGCCAGCTGCAAAGTCAAAATTGACTATATTGTAAAAATTCATGAAAACATGTTTTTTTTTCTCCCTCTCTCCCCCATCCCTCCCCTCCCTCTCTCCCTCCCCTCCCTCTCCCCCATCCCTCCCCCTCCCTCTCTCCCCCATCCCTCTCTCCTCATCCCTCCCTCTCTCCCCCATCCCTCTCTCCTCATCCCTCCCTCTCTCCCCCATCCCTCCCCCTCCCTCTCTCCTCCATCCCTCCCCCTCCCTCTCGCCCCATCCCTCCCCCTCCTCTCTCCTCATCCCTCCCCTCCTCTCTCCTCATCCCTCCCCTCCCTCTCTCCCCCCCATCCCTCCCCTCCCTCTCTCCCCCATCCCTTCCCCCCTCCCTCCCCCCTCCCTCTCCCCCTCCCCCTCCCCTCCCCCTCCCTCTCTCCTCTCCCCCCTCCTCTCCTCTCTCCATCCTCCCATCCCTCTCTCTCCCCCTCCCTCTCCTCCCCCTCCCTCCTCCTCCCTCCTCCCTCCCTCTCTCTCCCCCCTCCCTCCCCCTCCTCTCTCCTCCCCCATCCCCTCCCCCTCCCTCCGTCTCCCCCCCTCCCTCCCTCCCCTCCCCTCCCCTCCCTCCTCCTCCTCCTCCCCCCTCCCTCCTCCCCCCTCCCTCCCTCCCTCTCTCCTCCCCATCCCTCCCCCCCCTCTCCCCTCCCCCACCTCCCTCCCTCCCTCTCCCCCCCTCCTCTCGCCCCCTCCTCTCCCTCCCCTCCCTCCCCTCCCTCTCCCTCCCTCCATCCTCTCCCCCTCCCTCCCTCTCCCCCCCCATCCCTCCCCCTCCTCTCTCCTGCGTCCCTCCCCTCCCTCTCTCCACCGCCATCCCTCCCCCATCCGCTCCCCCCCCATCCCCTGCCCCCCATCCCTCCCTCCCTCTCTCCTCTCCCCCATCCTCCCCTCCCTCTCTCCTCCCCCCTCCCTCCCCTCCCTCTCTCCCCCCCTCCCCCTCCCCCCCCTCCCTCTCTCCCCCATCCCTCCATCCCTCCCCCTCCCTCTCTCCCCCCATCCTTCCCTGTCTCATAATTTCAGTTCCTGTCTCTGTATAGTGACGGTTCTGCAGGCCAGCAGGAAGCCAGCGGAGGTGAATAGTTGTGTTCCACTGGAGACCCAGGCCAGGATCAGGGACCAGCCAAACAGGATCTGGATCCCCTCCATATTGACCCCCATCTGCTCAGCCAGACACTGAGCCTCCTGGAAGACTGCAGCAGAGTAGGCCATGTACACACTCACCCCTGTTAGAGAGGACAGAGCTGGAGGGAAGGAGAAAATATGTGTTACTGACAAAATACCAAATGACAGGAACATACTGACCACTAGGGAGATACAGGGACATACTGACCACTAGGGAGACACAGGGACATACTGACCACTAGGGAGATACAGGGACATACTGACCACTAGGGAGATAAAGGGACATACTGACCACTAGGGAGATACAGGGACATACTGACCACTAGGGAGACACAGGGACATACTGACCACTAGGGAGATAAAGGGACATACTGACCACTAGGGAGACACAGGGACATACTGACCACTAGGGAGATACAGGGACATACTGACCACTAGGGAGACACAGGGACATACTGACCACTAGGGAGATACAGGGACATACTGACCACTAGGGAGACACAGGGACATACTGACCACTAGGGAGATACAGGGACATACTGACCACTAGGGAGATACAGGGACATACTGACCACTAGGGAGATACAGGGACATACTGACCACTAGGGAGACACAGGGACATACTGACCACTAGGGAGACACAGGGACATACTGACCACTAGGGAGATACAGGGACATACTGACCACTAGGGAGATACAGGGACATACTGACCACTAGGGAGACACAGGGACATACTGACCACTAGGGAGACACAGGGACATACTGACCACTAGGGAGATACAGGGACATACTGACCACTAGGGAGATACAGGGACATACTGACCACTAGGGAGACACAGGGACATACTGACCACTAGGGAGATACAGGGACATACTGACCACTAGGGAGATTCAGATGGAAAGGGAAAACTCGTCACATTGTTTTGGCCCAAAGGTCTTAAAATCAAATCCCAAATCAATGTTTATTGCAGATTTGCAGATGTTATCAAAGGTGCAGCGAAATGCTTGTGTTTCTAGCTCCAACAGTGCAGTAATATCTAGCAATACACACATAATCCCCAAAAGTAAAAAAAAGAATACATTAAATTAAGAAATATCAGAACGAGCAATGTCAGAGACCTGAATATAAATATACACAGTGGCCAGTTTACCCGTTCACCAAAATGGATCGCTCCTACAGACAGTGAGTCACGTGGCTGTGGCTTGCTATATAAAGCAGGCAGACAGGCATCGAGGCATTCAGTTACTGTTCTATTGAACGTTAGATGGGCAAAACGAGTGACCTAAACGACTGAGCGTGCTATGATCGTCGGTGCTAGTCACGCCGGTTCCAGTATCTCAGAAACGGACGGCCTCCTAGAGTTTACCTACAATGTTGCGACAAACAAAAAACATCCAGTCAGCAGCAGTCCTGTGGGCAAAAACAGCTCGTTGATGAGAGGTCAAAAGAGAATGGCAAGAATGGCACAAGCTAACTGGCAAACAGGAACATAACGGCGCAGTACAACAGTGGTTTGCAGAACGACATGTCGGAACTCACAACTCGTCTGTCCTTGTCACGGATGGGCTATTGCAGCAGACGACCACACCGGGTTCCACTCCTATCAGCTAAAAACAAGAAGAAGCGAATCATGGTGTCTGGTCCAACGAATCCCGGTTCCTGTTGCGTCATGCTGATGGCAGTCAGGAATTTGGCGTAAGCAACATGAGTCCATGGCCCCATCCTCCCTGGTGTCAACGGTACAAGCTGGTGGCGATGGTGTAATGGTGTGGGGAATGTTTTCCTGGCGCACGTTAGGGTCCCTTGATACCAACTGAGCAAAGTTTCCCATGCCCCGAAGAATTCAGGCTGTTCTGGAGGCAAAGGGAGGTCCAACCCAGTACTAGATGGGTGCACCTAATAAACTGGCCAGAGTGTATGTACACTATACACATATAATGGAATGTGTGTGTATATATATATATATATATATATGGTACCAGTCAAAAGTTTAGACACACCTACTCATTCAAGGGCTTGTCTTTATTTTGACTGTTTTTATTTTCTACCATTGTATAATGGACAGTATGGACAGTATATGAACAGAAAAGGTGTGTGCAGCAGTAGTTATATAGGATGAACCATGACTAGAATACAGTATATACATATGAAGTGGGTAAAACAGTATGTGAACAAGTGATCAGTGTTCAATGACTATGTACATAGGGCAAAACAGTCTATAAGGTGCAGGGTAGAGTACCGGGTGGTAGCCGGCTAGAACATTGACTAAGGTTCAGGGCAGGGTACTGGGTGGAGGCCGGCTACTGTGTAGCAGTCTGATGGCCTGGAGATAGAAGCTCTTTCTCAGTCTCTCGGTCCCAGCATTGATGCACCTGTACTGTCTCCGCCTTTTAGATGGTAGCGGGGTGAACAGGCCGTGGCTTGGGTGGCTGAGGTCCTTCATGATCTTCTTGGCCTTCCTGTGACACCGGGTGATGTAAATGTACCGGAGGGCAGGCAGTGTGCCCCCACTGATGCATTGAGCTGACCGCAACACCCTCTGGAGAACCCTGCGGTTGCGGATGTTGCAATTGCCGTACCAGGTGGTTATACAGCCCAACAGGATTCTCTCAATGGTACATCCTGTGTCAGCAAACTCGATAATTGAGTACAGGAGGGGGCTGAGCACGCACCCCTGTAGGGCCCCCCGTGTTGAGGAACAGTCCTCATGAGAGTCGGGGGCCGGCGTCAGTGTCTCGTTGTAATTTTTCTCAAAGCGGGAGAAGGTGTTTAGCTCGTCCGGGAGCGAGGCGTCGGTGTCCGAGACCTGGCTGGCTTTCCCTTTCTGATCTGTGGTTGTCTGGAGTCCCTGCATCTTGTGTCTGAACCATTGAATTGCGACTGCACTTTGTTCCTGTACTGTCGTTTTAAATCTATTGGATTGTCTTACGGAGGTCACGGAGGTCGTAGCTGGTCTGATTGTACACATCCACGTTCCCAGTCACCTTCCCATGGTTAAATGCTTTCAGTTTTTGTGCGAATGCTGCCATCTTTCCACGGTTCTTGGTTTGGATAAGTTCTAATCGTCACAGTGGGAACAACATCCTCTATGCACTTCCTGATTAACCCCTTCACCGAGTCAGTGTATACGTCAATACTATTCTCAGAGGCGACCTTTCCCAGTCCGCGTGATCAAAACAATCTTAAAGCATAGATTCTGATTGATCAGACCAATGTTGAATAGTCCTTACCATGGGTGCTTCCTGCTTAAGTTTCTGCCTATAGGTGGGGAGGAGCAGAATAATAGTAATAATAATAATAATATGCCATTTAGCAGACGCTTTTATCCAAAGCGACTTACAGTCATGCGTGCATACATTTTTGTGTATGGGTGGTCCCGGGGATCGAACCCACTATCTTGGCGTTACAAGCGCCGTGCTCTACCAGCTGAGCTACAGAGGACCACATGAATGGAGGCGTGATCTGATTTGCTGAAGGGAGGACGGCGGAGGGCCTTGTAGACATATCGGAAGGGAGAGTAGCAATGATTCAGGGTCCATGTTGTGCGTGTAGCACAGGAGACGTGTTGATAGAATTTCTGTAGCGTTTTCCTCATATTTCCTTTATTAAAGTCCCCAGCTACAATAAATGCCGCCTCAGGATATGCAGTTTACAGTTTGCACTTAATCCAAACGCTACTAATGCCATAATGAACATGCCTTGGAGCGCTCATTCCATTTCTGCAGTGAGGCACCAGGTGCACAGCACTTCCAAAACCATTTGTTTTTGAGACCGGTGTGGACCAAAGTATGTCATAGATCATTTGGTAACACTTTACTTGACACCCAGTGTCATAACATGTTATAACATGGTCATAACCATGTCATAATATATCATAACAGCTGACATAACATGTCATAACCTGTCATAATATCGTCATAACACTTTCATGACACATATTTAGACCTGTTGTGACATATATATTGCATTATTTTATGGCTGGTTATGACACCTACATAAGAGTGTCAAAACCCACAAAACCTACCACACAAGGCAAAACATTCCATTACACCATAGCCTACTTGTCAACAGTATGTTTATGTTACAGTATATAACATTTTCTGAAATTGACAATATTAAATTATCATTGTACACAAATTGATGTCAGACATGCACATACCCCAATGCTCTGTTGCTGATGACTGGGATGAATGCAGGAGCAGATTTCAGGAGCAGGGCATACACGTGATAGGACTATCTGGCTTATATGATTATGATGGTCATAATGCTTCATGACAGTGTCATAAAATGTATTTTCTGCAAGTTATTTAAAATATGATGGGGAAAAAGCATTCATTACAACAACAACAAAGGACTTAAGAAGTTATGCAAGTTACGTCAGCTGTTATGACATATTATGACATGGTTATGACCGTGTCATAACGTGTTATGACGTTGGGTGTCAAGTAAAGTGTCTCAAATATGGATTATGATGGATTACAATCTTTTTTTTTTTAAATGGTTACGAAAAATGACAATTATGACAATAACAGTGTCCATTTCCGTGACAATGAATCATTACCCATGATTCCATAATCGTCACAGCGCTATGTGTGGGACATCACATGTCCTTTCATCCATTCTTGTTGTGTGTGCGTGCGCATGGCCTTGATTACTGTGGTCCGCTCTGCGGCTCCAGTGTCAGACCAGCTCTCGTCAGCAGGCCCAATCACGAGGTGTGCCTTAGAGATCCTATTCAATTACTAGAGGGGCTATGTCATAAACCCTCAAGGTTCCAGAATGGGGTGAAAATGGCAGCCATCTTGGTCAGGGAGAAATCCAAACCAGTCTAAATGGAATGAATGGCAGTAGAGGCAGAATCCTGTCTTGGAGGCAGAACTGAGGAGATGTGTTGTGCTGCATGAGGCAAATGGTGGTCACACCAGATACTGACTGGTTTTCTGATCCACACCCCTACCTTTTTTTTAAGGTGTCTGTGACCAGCAGATGCATAACTGTATTCCGAGTCATGTGAAATCCATAGATTAGGGCCTAATGAATTTATTTCAATTGACTGATTTCCTTATATGAACTGTAACTCAGTAAAATCTTTTAAATTGTTGCATGTTGTTTTTATTTTTTTGTTCAGTGTACTTTGAGGATAAATGAGAGTGGAAAGTGATAGGTACAGTAGATAAACTGTTGTGGTTTGGTGGTGGGGCTTGTATAGTGAATAGGGTGTAGGGTTTAGGGTGTAGGGTATAGGGTGCTTACCTCCAAGTAGTAACAGTATACCAGTCATTAGCAGTAGTAGGTATGCTCTGGTGGTAAGGGTGTATTGTATAGGGTATGGGGTGTATTGTATAGGGTGTATTGTGTAGGGTATAGGGTATAGGGTGTAGGGTGTATTGTGTAGGGTGTATTGTGTAGGGTGTATTGTATAGGGTGTAGGGTGTATTGTGTAGGGTGTATTGTATAGGGTGTAGGGTGTATTGTGTAGGGTGTATTGTGTAGGGTGTATTGTATAGGGTGTAGGGTGTATTGTGTAGGGTGTATTGTATAGGGTGTAGGGTGTATTGTGTAGGGTGTATTGTATAGGGTGTATTGTATAGGGTGTATGGTATAGGGTGTAGGGTGTATTGTGTAGGGTGTAGGGTATAGGGTGTATTGTATAGGGTGTAGGGCAGGGTTCTTCAATTCCGGTCCTGGAGGGCCGAAACACCTCTGTTTTTCATCCTCTCCTTCTAATCAGGGGCTAATTCAGACCTGGGACACCAGGTGAGTGCAATTAACTACCAGGTAGAAATGAAAAACAGAAGTGTTTCGGCCCTCCAGGACCGGAATTGAAGAACCCTGGTACAGGGTATAGGGTGTATTGTGTAGGGTGTAGGGTGCTTACCTCCCAGTAGTAACAGGATACCAGTCATCAGCAGTAGTATGTATGCTCTAGCCAGCAGGCCGATGAACCCCATCACTCCCCCCACGACCATTATGATCATACTGACAGGAAGCAACACCATGAATGTCCCGTGCATATCTGAGAGAGGAGGAGGGAGAGAGAGAGGAGCTAACCTTACAGCTATAATGCACTCTCTTTAGAAGCGAGAGAGAGCGAGAGATGAAGGGAGACTTGCTGACACACACAGGCATGCTGAATAGACACCTGCATAGAATGAAATCATATGAGAGGCGCTATAACTATGGCTATAGTGCACTCTCTTTAGATAACATGGTTGCCACAAGAAAAGGGCAACCAGTGAAGAACAAACACCATTGTAAATACAACCCATATTTTTGTTTATTTATTTTCCCATTTGTACTATAACTATTTGCAGATTGTTTCAACACTGTATATATATATATACATAATATGACATTTGAAATGTCTTTATTCTTTTGGAAGTTCTGAGTGTAATGTTTACTGTTAATATTTATTGTTTATTTCACTTTTGTTTATTACCTACTTCACTTGCTTTGGCAATGTAAACATATGTTTCCCATGGAGGGAGGGAGGGAGGGAGGGAGGGAGGGAGGGAGGGAGGGAGGGAGGGAGGGAGGGAGGGAGGGAGAGAGGGAGGGAGGGAGGGAGAGAGGGAGGGAGGGAGAGAGGGAGGGAGGGAGGGAGGGAGGGAGGGAGAGAGGGAGGGAGGGAGGGAGGGGAGGGAGGGAGAGAGGGAGGGAGAGAGGGAGGGAGGGAGGGAGGGAGGGAGGGAGGGAGGGGAGGGAGGGAGGGAGGGAGGGAGGGAGGGAGGGAGGGAGGGAGATTCATTCTGAGAATGTCACTGCCCTCACACACGCACAAAGTACAGCAGGGATGCTTCCTTATCTGTCCCAGTACCGTGGAGTCTTCTCTCATCTAGAAACCTGGGATTGTGTTGGCGTAGCAGTGATTATGTTTGTTTGATTTGATACTAATGAATTCTACAGGACCTGTTTGTGTTTCTGATGTCAAATCAGTGTGTGTGTGTGTAATGCCCTCTGGTTGCAAGGGTGTCTGTTACCATGGACTGACTCTCTGTCTCTCTCTCTCTCTCTCTCTCTCTCTCTCTCTGCCTCTCTCTCTCTCTCTCTCTCTCTGCCTCTGCCCCTCTCTCTCTCCCTCTGTCTCTCTCTCTCTCTCTGCTCTCTCTCTCTCTCCTCTCTCTCTCTCTCTCTCTCTCTCTCTCTCTCTCTCTCTCTGCCTCTGCCTCTCTCTCTCTCCCTCTGTCTCTCTCTCTCTCTCTGCCTCTCTTTCTCTCCCTCTCTCTCTCTCTCTCTCTCTCTCTCTTCTATAAAGAACTATTCAAAAATATTATATATAGCACCAAAAAGAGTTCTGCTATGGTTACAGCACTTTTTGGTGCAGTATGGAACCCTTTCTAATGGTTCTATAAATAACTTTTCTCAATCTCAAAGGTTCTACAAATAATATGTTGAAGAATAATACAGGATTAGCAGTATTGTGTTGTTAATATTCCATAGGTGTTATTATTGTGTTAACTGACAAGCAGAATCAGGTGTGCTAGCGCAGGAACAGCTGAGGGTCCCTGAAGCAGTGATGTTACGTTTCATACTGAAGCTCCGAGGCATGCGTCGAAATCGCTAAGCAGCTAACTTCGAAGCAGTGTGCCGATGCGTGTATCACTTTATCAGAATTACATCATCAATGATGTCAGAAGCTTCGTTTGAGCATGTGCTTTTTCAAACCATGTGTTGCGAAATGCGAGATCCCACTGATTTTCGCCTTGGTTCCGGTCCTTTCTTTGATGAAGCTGCTTTCAAACACGACCTTTACTGGTTATTGTACTTATACAACTAGTTAGGATGTTGTACATGTAATTACACCTGACTGGTAGCTTAGCAGGTAAAGTAGGTAACTATCTTAAATAATGCCATAGGTTCTGTTAGAACAATAGTAAAGTTGAAGGCAACAAAGGGAAGCATGATGTAAGATGTGAACCTGGCAATCCAAAAGACTGTAGGTTGCTAAAGATAAAGACTTACTGCTGCGCCGCGGAGTTTTGATCAAATCAGTAGAGGCAAAAAAACAGATCTGATAATCACTTGTAGCTCAGTTGGTAGAGCATGGCGCTTGCAACGCCAGGGTTGTGGGTTCGATTCCCACGGGGGGCCAGTATGAAAAATGTATGCACTCACTAACTGTAAGTCGCTCTGGTTAAGAGAGTCTGCTAAATGACTAAAAATGTTTAAAAAATTGCTATTTGTTGCTTACCAGCAGATGCCACTAATGTGCATTGTGAACGGATAATGAAGCGCTGAGTAATGAACCTATTTGGATGGAAATCCTCAATACTGCAGGAAGCTTAATTTCCCCGTAACTACCCTGAAGACATCATTGAGAGAACCAATGATTTTAGACGTCAGTTCTCAATAGACACAAGGCCATACGTGATGCTTTCACACGACACCATCACTGGCCATGGTCATATAACATGTAATTGTCACGCCTGCTCCCGCTCCCCCTCGACGGCGCCAGGCTGCCCATCATTACGCACACCTGTTTCGTTTTCCGTTGTCCAGACGCTGTCGGCGTTTTTGTTCCTGTCTGTTTTTTTCAATACGTGTTCACTCCCTGTTCACTCCCTGCTTCTCGTCTCCCAGCGTCTGTCCTCACAGTAATGGCATAACACAACTGATCAGATCAACTGGAATGGACACACTCACTCACTGAAGAACAAAGAACCCTTTTGTGAACTGCAAAGAAACAGCGAAATGGCTCATAGGGTTCTTTTGAATCATTATGGTTCCACATAGAACCATCACCCATCCCATAGAGCCCTGGAGGAACCATCTTGTCTTGGTGTGTGTGTATATACACTGAAGTGATAAGGAAATTCAGCCACTCTTGGAGGGCAATGGAAGTTCATATTTAAAAAAGCCCTGGCCCACCTGAATGATCTTATTGCAGGTGAATAATGTTATTCCTTCTTACTCATATCACTTTTCCTATTCAAGCTTCCTGTTCGGCCTCTTGGCCTTCGTCAGAGCTTTGTGGAAGGTAATAAAAATCAAACCATTGCATCTTCAGCTCTAAGCCTTCATCAGGGTTTTCTGGATGTTTATTATACAGTTGAACACACCAGACTGGCACCAATCAGCCCCAGACAGAATCTGCACCAATCAGCGTCCTATGTCTCTCAGTGGGAGAACTCTGATCCCAAACAGCTGCTGCGTATCACACTGATAATGTCCTCCTCTGCCTACGCAATACGCACGCACACACATAAATGCATGCACACATACACACTAGTACACGCACACACACACACACACACACACACACACACACAACAATAAATTGAAGATATGGGCTCAGGAGGGAATATACAACAACCCTCTGACTCCCTCCTTATTTTTCTCCATCCTTCTCGTTTCCAATAGTGGGGGAGGCAGGGGAGGGAGGGGAGGCAGGGGAGGATCTGGATCCCTTGGTCAATAAAGCTGTGTTTGCTGAGAGACTTACTGTATGACTACCATCACTCCACGGGTGACAGCATCTGACCGTACTACCCATGGGAAGGAAGAGAGTTGAGGGAGGGGTTGAGCACCGGGGTGGATTGATTGTGTGTGTGTGTTTGTGTTTGTGTGTCCCCACAATAATAGTAAACAAACAAAAATTTGACCAACTGGGGACATTTTGTTGATCCCCACAAGGTAAAATGCTATTTCTAGGGGGTATAGGGTGAAGGTTAGACTGAGTGTTAGGGTTAGAATTTTTGATACGGGCAAGGGTTAGGAGCTAGGGATAGTTTTAGGGTTAGGAGCTAGGGTTAGGGTTACGGTTAAGGTTAGGTTTTTGGGTGAGGGTTAGGGTAAGAGTACAGGTAAGGGTTAGGTTTAGGGTTATAATACACTGCTCAAAAAAATAAAGGGAACACTTAAACAACACAATGTAACTCCAAGTCAATCACACTTCTGTGAAATCAAACTGTCCACTTAGGAAGCAACACTGATTGACAATAAATGTCACATGCTGGTGTGCAAATGGAATAGACAACAGGTGGAAATTATAGGCAATTAGCAAGACACCCCCAATAAAGGACTGGTTTTGCAGGTGGTGACCACAGACCACTTCTCAGTTCCTATGCTTCCTGTCTGATGTTTTGGTCACTTTTGAATGCTGGCGGTGCTTTCACTCTAGTGGTAGCATGAGACGGAGTCTACAACCCACACAAGTAGCTCAGGTAGTGCAGCTCATCCAGGATGGCACATCAATGCGAGCTGTGGCAAGAAGGTTTGCTGTGTCTGTCAGCGTAGTGTCCAGAGCATGGAGGCGCTACCAGGAGACAGGCCAGTACATCAGGAGACGTGGAGGAGGCCGTAGGAGGGCAACAACCCAGCAGCAGGACTACTACCTCCACCTTTGTGCAAGGAGGAGCAGGAGGAGCACTGACAGAGCCCTGCAAAATGACCTCCAGCAGGCCACAAATGTGCATGTGTCTGCTCAAACGGTCAGAAACCGACTCCATGAGGGTGGTATGAGGGCCCGACGTCCACAGGTGGGGGTTGTTCTTACAGCCCAACATCGTGCAGGACGTTTGGCATTTGCCAGAGAACACCAAGATTGGCAAATTCGCCACTGGCGCCCTGTGCTCTTCACAGATGAAAGCAGGTTCACACTGAGCACATGTGACAGACGTGACAGAGTCTGGAGACGCCGTGGAGAACGTTCTGCTGCCTGCAACATCCTCCAGCATCACCGGTTTGGCGGTGGGTCAGTCATGGTGTGGGGTGGCATTTCTTTGGGGGGCCGCACAGCCCTCCATGTGCTCGCCAGAGGTAGCCTGACTGCCATTAGGTACCGAGATGAGATCCTCAGACCCCTTGTGAGACCATATGCTGGTGCAGTTGGCCCTGGGTTCCTCCTAATGCAAGACAATGCCTCAAGACCTCATGTGGCTGGAGTGTGTCAGCAGTTCCTGCAAGAGGAAGGCATTGATGCTATGGACTGGCCCGCCCGTTCCCCAGACCTGAATTCAATTGAGCACATCTGGGACATCATGTCTCACTCCATCCACCAACGCCACGTTGCACCAC